CTCCATCATATTGTTAGCCCGTCTTCAGGTTCACCCCTTTTCTAGCATCTTTATCTTCCTCCCCAGTTCCAATACTGTCTGCAGGCAACTTGTGGGAGCACGTTTATTCCCTGCCCCCCCTGCCCTGTTTTTTTAAACTGTTCCCTAGGATACCAATGGAGATTTGCTTTAAGAACATGAACTGCCACAAAGGATTATAATCTACACGCACCAATAAACAACATCCCTCCTCGTGCTAGGGATTTGAAAGAAGAGACTCTCCAAAATCTCAGATATATTGACAGAGACAGCCCTGCACGTCGCCTGCCTCCCAGCTTGTCGATCAGCAGCTCCTGGCAACTTTTCTTAATGCAGAGCAGTCAGCAGCTCCCAACCCAGTTGCTTGAAGAGTCAGTGGCCGGACTCTGAGGGCGCGCCGTAGGCAGAGCCTGCGCATTAACACTATCTTCTCACTTACCTGCTGCCTCAGTATTTCCCCTGCCTCTACTTTTTCCAAGCCCAAAGGAGATCTCTGAGGTGCAATAAAGCTAAACGGTGACAAGCCTGCGCCATGCCATGCCCCTCCACAGATCTTGGGTGCAAATAATGCATGGCCTCAGTCAGTACCCCAGATCAATCTGCCTCTTTTCCAGAGAGGTCCGTGCATGTCAAAATCCATGTGCCATAAGTACAACCTTCACGTAGGGGCAGGCAACACGTTTCCTGGAATCTGTGAGCAAAGGAGGATAGCAGGCATTCTGCATTTAAAACATCTTTAAGTATGGCTTCTGGCTTTAACAGCTTCACACTGTATCTCATGTGAGCCCTCATTATATTTCCCACTGCATATACATGATTTTTTTAAATTAAAAAAAAAATCAATTAACAGTTATTTGGATAAGAATGTCTCACCATATGTCAACTGGTCTGCCAGCAAATGCCACACAGAAATGTTTAGAAGAGGAACAAAAGGATTTTACGTACAGTTCTGTGCTACACTGCAAATGAAACTAGTAGAAGGTACGCACAACGGAAGAGCACACAACCTGTCCCCGGGCTACAAACCATATTTCAAAATGCCATGGATAATAATTGGATCCTTTTAAATAAAGTAGCTGTGGTGGTCTCTCTTTCCCAATCCTGAATAGGCACTAATCCCAAATCAATTATTTACTACTAAAAAACAAGGCAAGACATTTTCCAAGATGTGGAAGGATGTCCATCCTCCTGTGATCTATGTTTATCCCAGGTATAGGAGCTTTGGCGATAAATTCTCCACCAGCATAACAGCAAGTAAGCTGTGTCCCTACGGAATATAGCATCAGCTATGGCGTTTGATGGCTGCTGTCTGCTGCAGGTTGATTTGGAAGATTGTCAAGGCAAACAAGGATTAGAAAAGAAAACAACAAAGGCTCCAGATTTCCCCATGAGAGCACGCACAGCTCCTAGGAACACTGCCTCCTTTCACCTTGTGTATGGCTCCAGCACATTTGCTTTTTGTGTTATCTTTGGTGGATGAATATTTCTGCGTGCCAGCTCCTGTGGCATTTTGCACCATATGGAGGTCATGCCAGAGAAGATCTCAAGGAGATTCTTCATCATACAGTTCTGGAGATTAGTGGATACTTGGAGTTGGGTCAGCTTTAGAAGAAACATCATAAGCCTTTTAATCTGTCTTATACTCTTGCTAGTTTTCCTAGAGAGAGAACTACCCTCTAGCTCTACATTTTGGACTATATTCACTTTGAAGCCACTCTTCTGTTTCTCTTTCTCATCCCTGTTAGCTTGCCAGATGCAAAAAATGCATCTTTTAGGACATGGATATTTTCCTAATGTTCCTTCACTTTTCCATCAGATTCCAGTTTTGTAGATAATGGCTTTGCAAACAGTGCATCTCTGTAATGCACATCCCTTTCTATGTGTCTTCTGTACTTGCTGATTTTGATTTAAACAGCCTGTCATAACAGAAGGTGGAAGAGTGGGAGGAAGAGGAAAGAATGCATCAGGTATCTCTCGCCGCAGTTCCTCCGTTAATGCTGTCTCTGTGAAAAGACAAAGATCAAAGGGATCCATTTCTCTGGGAATGTGAGGGAACTGCCTCCATACGTCATGGAATAGATTGGGAAAGTTCATCTTTGAATTGATCAAAAACATGGAAGACAACCTAGATTGCCAGGTCCTCAGCTGGGGTAAACTAGCCTCAACAGAGCTGTCACATATCCCTCAAGCATTTGCTAGCCTTGGTTTTAGCAAGGAGGCTGGTCATAGAAGCACAACTGGAGACAAAGGCTCATTTAAGTCCTTGCAAAGACCAACTGAAATAAAGAACAATAAGTAACTGCAAAAATGCCTCATGTTAGACATGATATTTATAACCTTTGACAGTAATTTCATTGCACTTTTCATTCAGCCTTGGTCTCTGAATGGCAGCAAGCCTCTGAAGCTGGGAAAGGTTCTCCTGAAGACGCAGCAGCAAGTGTGACGTTTAGAAGTGTAGGAAGTGTTGAATAAATAAATGTATGAGTTGATTAAATCCTTACAGGGCGATCTTCAGATAGGTCTCTCTCTTTCTTCCAGTGGATTTTCATTTTGTTATGGCTTCTTTCATTTTTCACTCACATAGAGTGGGCAGAGTTGGGTGGTGTGAGTTCCTCAGTTGGGTTTGCTGGTTGCAGCTGGGCCCACGCTCCTCCACACAGTCTCTGCCGATGTGACAGGAAGTATAGAAATGTGGGAGCTGGTACCTGGCATAGAGGGGAAGCCCCTGCCTGTTGGTGTCTGCATGCAAGGTATCAGACTCTGCTTTAACGTTGCAGCTCCTATTTCTGGAAGTGTGGTCCCTGCTGTGAGGCTCGTTGATCCTCCAGCCAGTGACTGCTCCAATGATGGGCAGGTTTCCTTCCACGCCGACCTCCAAAGAAGATGTCTGAGACGTCATCTGTAACGCTGGGTCACACATTCACTGCAGCTAATTGCAAATCTTTCTATAAAGCACTGAAAAAGCCTCATTGTGAATTAACACTGTTCTGCTTTATGCACTTGATCAAAAGGAAAAAAAAAAGACATTTCTCTATATGCAGTGCATGCCTGCTTTGCTTTCAAACCGACAAACTTAGCAGAGTATGTCGGATCTATTTTCTCGGGGAAGAGGGGTTTTTATCATACAATTCATCTGGGATTTGCCTTACCCTGACATTTGTGATATAAAGGAAAAAGTTTTAAAAAAAAGAAAAAGTAATTTTCTTGATCAAAAATATGTTTTTACTTAAATGCAAAGAAATGTAGACTGTTGCTTGCAAAATGTCTTCTAATAGATGGTATAACAGCTATATAGACTAATCCATGCCTCTTTTGTTACTCTGTTGTTTATGTGCCGAATTTGCTTCCCAGTCTGTTGTTTTTCCTTTTGTCCATGCCATACGACAGAAAACTTAAGGAATCAATGCCTTCACACATTTGTTTGTTAAAGCAAAACCTTAATAAAACTTGTTCTGAAGACAAGCCCACATTGCTCGTGTGTTTCTTTCCTCCTGACTTTGCCAATCATATGGCAAGAACCTTTCTTTGTTACAAAGGCACCCTTCAGGCTGGATATGCAACTGTGCTGTAGACTGAATATAGTGTTGCCATTATAGTTGAGTCTTGTCGTTGTCAACTGAATGTTGTTTTGGCATGATAGCTGTAGTTGGGAAGAAATGGATCCATCAGACAGACTTTTGGAAGGCAACAAAGTGAGGTAAGGATGGGGACTTCTCAGCCTGAAGGGGAAGTGGTTGTTTGATTGACCCTTCATTTTTTGTCTTAGTAGCAGCGAGTTAACCTCAGAGGGAAAATACCAGCAATATCTGTAAAACAGTACCTTACTGAATGTCGTTGATGAACACTGCTCTTCTTTTATTGCTTTAGTTTACTTTTTTTTTATCTGAGGAAACTTGCAGTCTAGAAGGACATGCCTGGTTTCCTAGATCTGCTGCAAAGAACTTTTTCTTTTTTTCCTCTGTAGCAGGCTTACATTTTTGAAAGGAAATAATAAGGAAAAATTCATGTCTCACGTGAGAAGTAAGTAAATTGCATCCCACTCTTTAGCACAGGGCTGAGAGGAAAAACCTCCTTATTTTTGGAGGTCAAAGAAGGCTACTCAGAGCTTCACAGCAGTACAGCGGTACAAATGTACAGCAGTGTTTGTCTGGGAAAGGAGAATTAGGCAAGGAGCAGGTAAGCCTGCTAGGAAAATACAGTGTGAAATGAACAGTAAAATGCACTTTTTATTTTATTCCTGTATTCTGTGGCCCCAGTAGATTTCTGACTGGGGAAATAAGTTTTTCTTAGCTGATGCACATGAGGGTCAACCCTGGCAAGCTTCTCTCAGAGCAGCTAGGATGTCTGTTGTGATTTCCATGAGAAGGCTGGCTTAGCCACACAAATGCTGTGTAACTGAGAGGAGCAGCTTGTGCTTGCAGTTGGTTTGGCTTGTTCTTTGCCCCTGATGTAGCAGAACTCCTCTTCCACAGACACACAGGATGAGGCCTTTGAAGCCTTTGTCCAAAAGTGAAAATTGTGATACAGGGCTTTCATTAGGCTGGAGTTTGTAGTATTTGTTTTTTGTTGGTGATGGTGGGTTTTTTTCCCCTTAAATAAAAGTGTTGAGAGATGTTTAACTACCCTCATTCTATTAGAATCCTCAGTAACTCCTTCAAGTATGTGGCAAATGACTATTAATTCCTTTGAAATTCACTGATAAAATATTTCTTATAATGAAGTCCTTTAATGAAGGGGGGAGTCCTGATTCAAACACAGCAGTGGATTAGGCCAGTGCTCAGGCTTCTGCTGTACTCAGGATGGAGATGCAGTTGGTAGAAGATCCCTTGTTTGGCATCTGGAGGAGAATTTGGATTGGGTGGCATATGCGCATCCCAATCAAGTGAGACTGTTTCCTTGATAAGAGAGCCTAACTGTGTATGCTCTGGTGGAACTGTCAAGCAGGGTAAGCTTTTTTGTTTGCTCTGTGTATATTCACATACCTGTTACTCCTGGTCCAAAGATGCGCATTGCCCCTAGCCAGCTTAAATCCAGCCTGTCCAATCCTGAAAGGACATCTGCAGCATCCATGCTTGTACTTATGCTCTGGGGAGGAAGGGGAGGCTTTTCAATAAACTCAACAGTTAATTATTTGTGAACAAAAAAGAAGTTTTGTCAAAGTATTTTGTAAGTTCTCATCTGTCAAGTTAGTACTATTTAGCCAAACAGAGCATTACAAATGAAAGTAAAAAGAACTGTAGTGTAATCATAAAAACATACAGCACTACATATTTGCTATCTGCACCACCACCACTTCACAGTTTATCTTTTAATTCCTGGAATGATGCTCTACTTGTATTAATGAACTATTTATTATTTCAAAGCTTTAACATTTTGGAGAGTCTGATCTGTGGCAGAATAGCTGTAGCAGCTGTTGAAAGCCTTATTGCTGCTCAGTCAGGCTCAGTCTTCTCACTTCCACAATGCTGCCACAAGCTATACCCCATTTCTTTGAGCTGAGAAGATGTTACCAGCAAAATCTTGACTCTCATGTAACCAAGTATTTCAGAACAATCAGGAAATCCCTGCTCCTGCTGTGCCCTTTATGTCATAGCCCTATCTGTGTTATTTTTGCAGGAGGAAGAACCCCAGATTCCACCAGGTCCCTCCTGCACCAGCAGCAGCCCTGGCAGGAGACCCCACACCATCAGGTGCGGATCTGTTCTCTTTTGGGTTTCACTGCACAGCTTGGAAGGGATGCAAAGAAACACCCTACAGCAGGCAAATTGTTAGCAGCTGAAACCATCAAACTAGCACTGGGCCAGCATCTTGCTCAAGCCATAGCAAGACTGCCCAGGATGAGTTTGTGCCTAAGATTATCTACTTGGAAATATAACTGCAGCAACACACTCTAACAATTCAATATAAGACTGATGTGTCTCTTCATGCTGGCCAGTCTGCTTCCTGAGCACACCAATCCTTTGGTTGTTCTGAAGCTCCTGCAACACTAGGGCAGGAGACTGCTCTGGTTGTTTCAGGTCCCACAGAGTAACTCAAATTTGACAGCAAATCCTTGCCATACATCTGTGAGGAAGCAAGGCACAGCTGCTGCTCTTCAGCAGCCTCCTCAAAAAACACTAACATCAGCAGACACAGCTGGTTTGTGCAGCTGAAATTGGAACTCCCCCCCCCCCCAGGCACTAGAGGCTCCAGTGTTCTCACATTCTCTGGGTAGTGTGTGCACCTATACAAAATCACCTTTGCAACAAGTTATTCTTCTACTTGGCCCTGAAGCCTTGGCTTTATTCCTTCTCAGCCCAGAAGAAGCCAGCCCCACAGCTCCCAGTGCTGGAGCTCAGCACATCACCTGCAGCCATGCAAGAGAAATAGTTGAGGTGTTAAATCCCTCCAGCCACACTGTCCTGCAACAATGTAAGCCATCTGCTCATCACCAAGAACTGCTCCTTCCTGCAGCCCCATCCCTCACCTTAATCTGTCCCCACATTCCCTCCAGCCCCTTTACCTCGTGAAAGGAGAGCTGCAGGATGACCTCTAATCACCAGCAGATAGTGTTTACACCAAGGTCCTACATTACAATGCTGGAATAAAAACAAAAAACAAAAACAACAAAACGAGTTCAGTTGCTGCATCTAGATGATGGGATAGAGCAGCCTAAGTATGTTCTATCATGTTGACAACGTGCAGCATTTGGTTTAATTTTTTAGTGTTTTGATTGAGTTGTAGGGTTATTTTTGTTACTGGAGAGAGCTGCTAGTCACACCATATACCCCAGGGCAATAAGACGCAAAATTCAGCACAGGAGCCCATCAGTAGGCCAGAGGATTTGGGTAGAAGGGAGATACAGTCATGACTGGGAAGAGGAGGAGATGGTGGGAACACGGGGCAGGTTTTACTGCAGCATCACACCTTCTGTCTTTCCGTCCTAGCTGCCTGAAGACTCTTCACTCCCAATTAATCTCCAGCACCTTGATACAAGACAAGAATCAGCCCTACATTTTTATTTATCTGATTCTTTTTTAGAAGGCAGGGCATTTCAGGGGCACCATGTATACAGTAAATATGAGGGGAATGAGGAGCACCTCCTTGTCCAGAAAAGTCATAAAGCAGACAGTCACAGTCATTAAAAAAAACCATCCAGAGACACCCTTTAACAGCCAGGTTAGGCATGAGCAGGAGGTACCCATGACAGCTATGCAATGCAACATATTCATGCAAGACCTCGGAAAGCAAAGACCTGCAGGGATTTGCAGCCCCATAGCCAGAACAACGAGGGCTTTCCATGGGACAGGATTACTGGACACTGCTGCTGGAGACAAGGATCAAGAGCAGCCGAAGCAAGGGGAAGTGAATTCAGTCTCAGTTTAGGTGGTGAGGCAGCATAATGAGGAAGGGAGCTATGAATGGCAGCCCCAGGGCTGTTTGGGGTGACTCCAATGCATGCACTGAAGGAGAGGGCCACTCACTAAGGGATGGGGCTGAGCTGCCTCCCAACCGCAAGGGCATGAGTGCAGCACAAAGCACTGGAGCAGGATCATAGCACATCCACACTCACTACAGACCAACTTTTAGCTGGTTTTCAAAGTGAAGCCTCTACTCACAGCTATGGGGCTCAAGCAGGTGAACAGTACATGGCCTCAGAACTGGCCACCCTGGGCACCCCAAGCCACCAGCCCTAGGGGAATGCAGGCTTATCAGGCCAGGAGGTCCACCATCCCCAGCTCATCTGGGAAAGTGTGAGTCCCATCACAACAACTGCAAGAAATGCCTTTTCTCAGATCATACCTCACATGTGGCAAGCATTTTACAAGACAACAAAAAAAAAAAAAAAAGAAAAAAGAAAGAAAAAAAAAGATGAAAGAACAGAAATAAACCCATTGGCTGAGAAGTACAACATGGGTGTGAACCTTGGGAGCCAGCACAGATCAACAGTGTTGTGGCAGAAGAGAGCTGCTGTCCATCAGGAGGGTGGCCTAAATATACAAAATAAGTGACAGGAACGGATGGAAAAAATAAAGGTTGATGTAAACAAACAGCAAAAGAGTCTGAAATAGACAAACTGGAGAAGGGTTTGTTTCAGGGCCATGTTTTCCTGCGGAACACAATATATTACCTCCTCCCCCCCCAAGTGACAAAGCTGTAACCTGGTCTCTGTAGGGGTTACCTGCTCCATAGCGGTCTATGAGCTGGGCTCCTACAGCCAGGTAGCTTTAATTAAATTATCAGGTTTAGGACCTGCTTATTGGATGTTTCACGTATCGCAACAGTTTCTGGCTGCTTTCTTTGCTGCTATTGTTGATACAGCATCAACACCACAGTTGTGCACTGACTTCATCATATTCTAAGAGCTGGAGGTCACACCCTGAAAACGGTTCTCTCCAGTAAACTGGATGCAGTCAATGTTTGATGAGTGCTTTTGTGAGAATGCAGAATGAGAGCTGCTAACAAGCAGGAGACAGGACAGGGCAGGAGAACAGACAGCCTGTAACTGCGCTGGGATCGCTTCAGACCTCCAGGATGAGGCTGCACACCACTGCGCTCCCAGAGCCGACTGCAGAGGTTATCACATCCACACCCATTCTCTCGCAGGGCACTTACAAGCTCCCCTCTACCATTGCCAGCCAGCATGGATGAAGACAACCAGCTTTATCCCATAGCTGCTCCTCAGATCCTCCCCCAGACCCTACTTTGCAGCTGGCCAAGGAGTTCTGCCTCCAATCCCAAATGGGCAAAGAGCTGTGCAACACAGGTGTACTCAATTACTACACTCTCAAGTCAGCTCTGGTTGTCCCATCTTTGGAGAGGAGATGGATTCAGAATGTGTTCCCAGAGAAGTCAAGTCAAAGGATAGGGTTTTGGAACCCTTGTTTTACAACAAGTCCAACACCACCTCCACATACACAAAGATGTGGAGATTCTCAGTGCACACAGATGTGTTCTATTCTTAATCAAAGCCAAGATATTCTTAATGCCTACAACCTACAAGCACTTAAAAAGCGGATGCTTGACACTCACCTGTGCTAGCAGGCAGGGCCTGACCACAGATCCCACTTGAATGGCAACTTTGCACCCAATCAAGTGCTAAGAGCAAGTCCCCAGCAGCTGCAGAGGGCTGAGGGCAGGAAAGGAATGAGGTGGCTGTGTGCCATGTCTCACCAATCCATAATGGTGGCTTTTGGGAGTGGTTGATTCATTCTTTAGTGAGTAAAAATATAACAAATAGTAATAATAATAAATAAAAACCCTCTGTTCCTTGGCTAGCACATCATTAGAAATGTATCTATCTGAAATAATTAAAATTAAAAAAAAAAAAAAAATTGGCATGTTTCTCCTCCATAAAATTGCCTCTGAGGCCTTGCAAAGCCAAGTGCATTTGCAGAGTGGGAAGGGGAAAGAAGAGATTAAAATAATTACAGCTTTCCTTGAGTGGGTCTGCTTAAGAGGAGATTAAAAAAAGGCACGTCGAAAAATCCCCTTGACTCCAACCTCTGCTGGCGCCCATCTGCCATGTACTTAAGCCACCTCGGCTGCGCTCCCAGCCCAGCCCTTGGAGGCTCTGTGCATCAGGATGTGTGATGCTTCCCCTAGAAAATGAGCCTGGAGATGCTCTTGACAAAAATGCCTGCAGGCTGCAACACATCATCCCCATAGCATCAACCCAGCTTTGTTTGGTTTCCCCCCCCCCAGCTCACACTGAGGGGAGCATGGCCACTGGCCAAGCCCATGGCCATGGTACACACATGTCATACATACCTCTGTGCTGGCTCTCAAAAGTACCACTGGATCTGGTGCTCTATTTACTGCCAAGCTCTTGACCACCTTTGTAGTCCTTTATCCATATTCACCCCACTCCACTCACAGGAGCACTGTGAATGAAGATGCTGGAGAAGAACCACATCTTGCACAAGTTCAGCATCTGCAATAACCCGCAGTGGCACAGATCCACTGTTGACAGAGCCACATGGCTTTGCAAGACATCCCCAATGCACCAGACCTGCCTGCTTTGTTCCCAGTTTTCCCTAATTCCTGACAGACACAGAGGATGTGCTCCTTTGTATGTGATGCATTGGGTTGAGCTGGGTGGCACTGTGACATAAAACTTCTTTGAGAGGGGAAGGGGAAGGAGAAGGGGAAGGGGAAGGGGAGGGGGAAGGGGAAGGGGGAAGGGAAGATCCCACCCTAAGCACCAAGGAGGCAGTCGGCACCGTGACACTGAGCTGAGCCTGAACTTAGCTTGACCCTGTGTCACTCTTTGTGCCTTCCCACAGCTTTTCCTCCAGAATGGAGATGTAAAAACAAAAGATTAAAATACTGAGTGCCTGATTTCGTTAGCATCAAACTTCATTATTGCAAGCAGCTAATAGGAAATGTGGCTTAATTGTTTTAATTTGCCTGTTAATTTATTAAACAACTGTTTCCTTGGAGTACATGGCCACTTCATCTCCTACTTCTGTCCCTCCATCACCAGAGCCACAGCTCTTGTGGCAAAGGCTCTGGAGTGCCACAGCTCTTGTGGCAAAGGCTCTTCCTTAAGGTGCCAGGGGTTTGGAGGCCAAGTGCCCCAAAGCAGCGCCCAGTGGGAGTTAACACAGAAACACTGGAGCTGTTCTGCTCCAGTGTGTGCATCCTGTTACCTGCAGCATGGTTGGAGTTTCTGTCTGCAGATGGGGAACAAATGACAGAGAACATAGTTTTTGAAAAGTTTTGAATCACCCATTCGCATGTCACATGCATCAGCAGGCAGGAGAGGAGCTCCTAGGTCTCCACAGGGTGACATTAGCACATGAAGGAGAAAGAAACACATAAATATCAATAAATACCTCCTTGGCAAAGGGACAGAGAACATTTTTTTTTTTTAAACAGTTTAACAGGAATTTGGAGAAAACCTGTAGCAACTTGCACTGAATTCATGAGTCAGATATACCTCAGAAAGTATGCTGGTGATGCAGTGGCATGACTTTACTCAACTCTGCCATGCTCCTGAGCTGTACTGAGGTGCTCCATGCTGTGGGCTGCTTTGGGGACTCCTCCCTTGGCTCATGTTGAGTGTCCTTCCTCTCTGCTCTTCACTTTTTCCCAGGGTAAGAAAAACCCATCTGTGCTCTCTGGAGTTCCTGGAAGGGAGAGGAAACACATTCAAACTACAGAAACCCCAACATTACAGGCATTAAAGGCATTTTCTGAATCTGCCAAGCTTGCGCTCCAATGTGCTATGCCAGTGCTTATGTAAGCAATTAATTTACATAATAAAATTTTAATAAAGATGCCTGATGAGTGCTCAGCTGTGTTTTTCCCCACATGCGATGGAGGATTCTGTGACTAAGCTCAGCACTGCAGAGCACAGGAATCAAACCCACTCATGCAGTGTGCCAAAGAGCTGCATGGGACACCTGTCCTGGCACAAAGGGCCCCACAGAGCTGTTGAACTGTCCCTAATTAAGTGTAAGATGACTGTATTCATTCAGAGGTGCTGCATCGATCGGAGCCAGCGCTGCGTCCATCACTCACGCCGATTTAAAGTTCCCGACTCTACGGCAATCAATACATGCAAATGCAGCTGCCAGAGAATTAAGATGATTTAATTCTTACCAAAAGATCACAAGATGGAAATGCAGCTCAGGTCCACGCGACACGCTCCGGAGGGAAGTCTTGTAGCACTTAGCTGCCTTCAGTCTGTAAACAGCAGTTTAGATCTTCATCAGGAGGAACTGGGAAAAGGGAGCAGACCAGATGTGAGCAGATGTGAAATCTACTGTTGTTTGACTTTGTGTGATCTCCTATAGCCCTGACATAGAATCATAGAATTATAAAATCATGTGGGTTGGAAGGGACCCATTGAAGGCTATCTGGTCCTACCCCCCTGCTTACAGCCAGAGCTTACAGCCCTGTCCAGCCTGACTTGGGCTGTCTCCAGGAATGGGACACAAACACCTCTCTGGGGAACCTGTGCTATTGCCTCATAGCTCTTATGGAAAAAAACTCCTTCCTTATATCCCATCTAAATCTCCCCTGTTTTAGTTTGAAACCATTTGCTCTTGTCCTATCACACAGACCCTATAAAGAGCCTGTCCCTTCTTTCTTAGAGCCCCCCATTAGATAATGAAAGGGCATCCATGGACTTGGGAACCTGCTTGTGGCAGTCTCAGGAGGGCCAGTGGGAGACATCTGGTCCTGCTGGGGCGTACAGCCAGTGCTCCCTGCCTGTGAAAAGAGCCCTATTCTCTGCTCCCTGTTCCTTACTCCCTGACATGTGGAAGAGCACAGTGGTGAATAACATCAGCAGAGGAGAGAGGTTATAGAGGGGAGCAGAGAGGCAGAAAAAGAAGGGCTGAAAAAGATGACAACTCTACAAAATAAACTATTAGACAAAGCTGGTTTGAAGTCCAAATCAGTCAAAAAAAAAAAAAAAAAAAAAAGGAAAAAAAAGCTTTCACAGCTTCATAGGATTTTCAAGCTATTATGATGAAAGAAAGGATTGGAAGTTGCCATCGTCTCATCATTGCCCATCTCCGCTGCTCATCACTTTCAGGTTCCATCCTAATAACCTGTGGGTGAAGGAATCCCATTTTGAAATGATCCACTTTCATCTCTTTCTTCTCAGGAGATGATGGCACCGAGTGTCTGTCTGCTGTCCTCAAACTCTTCTGCTACCCCAGAGACCACAGCTCCTTGGGACAACATTGCCACAATCAGCCACCCTCTAATGAGATCCCCCACCACCATTATGCATATCTAAATACCAACAGGAGCCACTCAAAACCTCCAGCATACCATTGAGAGGTAATTGGAGTGTTTCTCATTTTGAAACATCAGCAATTAAAAAAAGACCAAAATGGGAAAAAAATAGATCTTTTTCTTTTGTACTCTCCCTTTTCCCCCTTTCATTTCCATTCCTTCTCTCAGACAGAGGCACAATCTGGGGAACAATGCAATTTCCAGCTGTGAAACAAGGGCAGGAGCAGTCAGCTAGCAGCTGGGCTGCTATCTTGGGTTCTTGGCCAATTAGCTGATCTGCCAATAAAGACTTCTGTATATGCAGAGACTCATGCACATCTATCTCCTATTTACCTACTTTTAGAAGTATGTATATATATAAAGACTCCTTTATCCACAACCAGATCATAAAATCATAGAATCATTAAGGTTGAAAAAGACCTCTAAGATCATCCAGTCCAATCCCAACCCATCCCACCATGCTCACTGATCACATCTTCAGTGCCACAGTTCTTGAGCACCTTTAGGGGCAGTGACTCCATCACCTCCCTGGGCAGCCTATTCCAGTGTCTCAGCACTATTCTGGAGATGAAATTGTTCCGAATATCCAACCTGAACCTCCCCTGGCACAGCTTAAAGCCATTCCTTCTTGTCCTATGGCTGTTGCCCGGGAGCAGGGGCTGACCCCACCTCACACAGCCTCCTTTCAGGTCATTGCAGAGAGCCACAAGGTCTCCCGTGAGCCTCCTCTTCTCCAGACCGAACAGTCTCGGTTCCCTCAGCTGCTCCCCATCACACGTGCTCCAAAAATGAGGTATGGCCTCACCAGTGTGGATGGCAGTGGGAGAATGTCTTCTTTCAACCAGTCCTCCAGGCTCCACTGGCAGCTAAATGCCAGGCATCAATGCTTAAGTAGCCTCATGACAGAATAAAAATTAAAAAAGAAGTGTGCAAGAGGCACATATTCACCATGCTCAGCTTCCTGTGGAGCTGCTCATGCAGATTCACCACACCTGCAATGTTATTAGAGACGAGTGGACAAAACCAAGGGTTATAGAGCTAGTTTATCTTTGTATATCTCCTTGGGTCCATTTATCACTTTGCATTTATCTCTTTGCAGATAGTGTCTCTGCCAATGCACTCCAAACTCCAGCAGAGCCAAGCCACATCTGCCTCAGTACCTGGGTGCCATTAAATGCCAGGGTACAAGCAAAGCCCAGAGTAAGGGCAGTGCAGGTCTGTCCCCCCTAAAGGGATCTTTAGGTCTGTTTTCTCCATAACACCGCAGATGGCAGCAGCCAGTGGGAGTACTGGAGGTTGGTGGAAGCTTGCAAGGTGCTGCCTCACAGCTCCATGAACTGACTGCTGGTGTTTAAGTGCCTGAGCATGATTGCAGTGCTCTGTGCAATTACTTTGCTCTCATTCTGTGACCCTGTGTGAAAATACAAGGGTTTCATCTGCAGGTTAAGCTTTTATTTCAAGCTTTGCTCAGCAACAAATCCTGCTCAGTCTTAGCCTGCAAAAAACCCAAAGATTACTCTCTAAATCAAACAGTATAAGCAAAAGCAAGAATAAGGGTGCAGATTCATAAAACAAAGTAAGGCCCAGAAAATCAGGTTATATTTCCATTGTTAGGAAATTACAGCATTGACACGATCATTTTACTGATCTGAAATACTAACCATCCAAGTCACCTCTAATTAAGTGGAAAGCCACAATATTCATTTAAATGTGCTGTATCGATTACAAGCGCTCCAAAACCAATCAATCTATCTTTCCATTTCAAGTACTGAGCTGCGAGTGAAGCAGCAAACACAGACAATGCTTGCTGACAGCTATAGAAAACTTCACCTACCAAAAACCTCCCAGCTGCCCAGCTCCTTGATACAATCCCCTCACCTCAAGCCTTGGCCACCACCTGCTCCTTCTAGAACCCAGAACCTCTCCATCTCATCCACTGCTCCTCACTGCCACTTCTTACATTAGGGTTTTGCAATGCTAAATCAGCTATGATTTCTGGGCTGTGCGCAAATAAAAGAATGGCATGAATGTGTTTTTCCATCTTGGAAGAAAAGCTATGCTGTAAGCCGTGGATCAGCTCTCAAAAGGGGATTTATTTTGCTGTTAGTCTGCTGCACGCAGTTCCTCACAGTCCAGCAGAGGAGTGTGTCCCCTTGAGGACACTCCACTTACAAGCATGTGGTGGTCCAGAGAAAAGGCACCCTCTGGGTTGACCTTGGTCACTTTGGCTACTTTTGGGCAGATTGTTTTTTTTCTGGAGTGAGGGAAAGAATCATACATTCACAGAATCATCAAGGTTGGAAAAGACCTCCAAGATCATCTAGTCCATGCATCCACTTACCACAAGTATTTCCCCACTAAACCATGTCCTTAAATGTTTCTTGAGCACCTCTAGGGATGGTGACTCAACCATCTTCCTGGGCAGCCAGTTCCAGCACCTGACTACTTTTTCAATGAAGACATTCTTCCTAATATCCAACCTGAACAAGCGCTGGTGCAACTTGATGCCATTTCCACTCATCCTATTGCTGTTACCTGGGAGAAGACCCCTCACAGCTCTGCTGCCCTTCTTGGGACACACACCAGGGCCTTGATGTCTTTCTCGTATTGAGGGGCTCAAAACTAAACACAGCACTCAAGGTACAGCCTCACTAGTGCCAGTACAGAGGGACGGTCACTTCTCTGTTCCTACTGCCAACACTATTGCTGATACAAGCCAGGATGCCACTGGCCTTCTTGGCCACCTGCGCACACTGCTGGCTCATGTTTTGCCGAGCATTGTCCAACACCCCCAGGTCCTCTACACAGTCTTCCAGCCACTCTTTCCCAAACCTGTAGTGTTGCCTGTAGGGTTGCTGTGTCCAAACTGCAGGACCTGGCACTTGGTCTTGCTGAACTTCACCCCATTGGTCTCAGCCCAGCTATCCAGCCTATCCAGATCCTTTTGTAGGGCCTTCCTACCCCCCAGGCAGATCAACGCTTCCTGCCAACTTGGTGTCATCTGCAAACTTACTGAGGGTGCACTCAGTGCCCTCATCCAGCTCATCAATAAAGATATTAAGCAGGACAGGCCCCAGTTCTGACCCCTGGGGAACACCACTCACAACTGGTTGCCAGCTGGATTTAACTCCATTCACCACCACTCTCTGGGCCCAGCCATCCAGCCAGTTCTTCACCCAGCAAAGAGTGTACCTGCCCAAGCCACAGGCTGCTGAATTGCAGCTCCCTTGCTTGTGGTGGCTTTCTCCTTTTGTTTGGCTTGTGACAATTAAGATGCCTACTGGCACTGAGCAAACTCTTACCACTCAGAACAGTTCTCTCACTTATTTCCCAAGAATCTGCAATCTTATTATCCTTAATTACGCAGCACATTATAATGCCCTAGTATTACACAAGATTTGAACTCTAGAAAAATATGCAGCATGTTATGATTTAAGTTAGTAAATACAATTTCATCTCAATAAACCTTTTTCTCAGTTTCAGATCTTGGTGAGAAAGTTGCAGCAATTGTTTAGGAGTGTCAGACAACTAAGTCACACCAAGATAACAGCAATTAGCCATACAGAGGAGCAGTGCACGTTTTGCTCTGAGTTGAGCACGTATTTCCCATTCATGAAAAGCAGCAAAATGAGAAGAGGATTTTTTATAAGAGTCATGTGTGCTGTCAGAAACAAAATATGAAAAAAAAATCAATATTAATGAGAAGTAGATAGTGAAAATGCTATAAATCTGCTGTCTGCACAATTTTCCTGAAATGCTGTTACTTTATTAAAAAAAAAAAAAAAAAAAGAGGGGAAATAAATACATAAGTGAATAAATCGAAGCAAAAGGAAACAGAAGAGAGAACAAAAGAAAGGGAAGGGGAGAACAAACCCCAGCCCAAGGACTTTGCTCACAGATGGGATGGTCTCAGCCGCTCACTTGGATGTGAATGGCGGGGCTCTGTTTGCCAGGCTATGAACTTTTCAAATGC